CCGCCTGTGCGGCTTTGCTCGGGTCTCCCTGCTGTGCTGGGGAGGGGTCCCCAGCAGACCAGGGACACCCGGAGCAGCTTTTCTCACCCCGGAGGACGCGGTGGCAGGACCACTGCGCGTCTGGGTGGTCCCGCCGCCCGCGAGTTCTGGGGCGAGAAAAGCCCCGTTCGTAAGTGCGGATCCGACATAAGTCGGATCCGTGTAACTCTGGGACTGCCTGTATTACACAATGTGGATCAAAACACAAAACAATTAAAGCAAAAGATATAGAAAAAACACCAAAAAGCAAAACTGTACCTTTTACATTCCTGTATCCTAATGTTTGGGGTTTTTTAGTTAATGGAAAAATTCACAAGCTATCAACAGAATTGTGTCAATGATTACTGTACTAATTTAAACATGGGAAGTCAACACGCCTTTTCTGCATTGCAAGTATTATAGTTTTCCTAAAGCATCTGAAACATTTTAACAAAAATTTAGCTTTCAGGCTTTCCTTAGTGCATAACATTGATCAAGGGATTTTAGGCTTTCCCCTTTAAACCTCAAGAGGAAGTCTACAACTGAAAGGTTTTTAATGCATTTTATTCTCTTCTAGACCTAAACACTATTAGTTGGTCCCTCATGTCTAGACTACAGGGAAGATTCGAAAGAGGATTGCAAATTCCGTGGGAATTTTTTTGAAATCTCAAAGTGAAAGTAGTCTAGATACGCTTTTTTTCAGCAATACCCTCCTTTTTTTGAAAACCTCATTTTTTGAGGAAAAGCGGCTTTTCGAAAAAGGGAGGGGCTTGCCGAAAAAAATGCAGGGAGGGGAAAAAAGAAAAAGGAAAGCAAAGGGACTAGAAGAAGACAGGTAAGAATGTGGAGAACAAGGAAAAGCAACAAATCAGAGAAAACAGTAGCACAGTTCCCATTTAACTTTTATTTCTGTGAGGATCATCATTCATAGAGAAGCTTTTTTTCTTACACTAGATCTGACAAGGATCTAATCTAATCTCCTGCGAGGTTTTCCCATTAAACCAATTAAAAATGCAATTATGTAGTCATTCTGGACTGTTTGCATATTTTTATCAACATTCAAGAATTTTCTTTTGATAACAAGAGCGACATAAAGGACAAACAACTTTTTCTCCCAAGGAAAACTCTTCAAATGCTTGAAGACAAGTCCGATGAAACATATGTGAACAAGACAGCAGAACAGTCTGGCGTAAACACTGATTGTTGCAATTGTTGCTGTTTTCAGAAAAGACGTTTGGAGGATGAGTTATATGACAGAGTGGCATAATGCAAATAGGGCAGTCAAATATTTCTTGCCGAAATGCCTAAGAGGAAGATAAGAAACTATATTGGTTATTGTAGACTGATAACTAAATATTGGAAGGCATGCATAGCAACAATACACTACACAACTAGAAAGTTCAAAGTGGATTTTGCTACAGTTGGTGGTAGGTCATTGAATATTTATTGAAAAATGTTCCATATCTCTTCACATCAGAACAATTTCGAAATATCTTTAATATTACTTCCCTTCTTCTTAAACAAAGGAGGAATTATTTATAAACATAAACCAAAAAAAAGCTACTATAGCAAAGTAACTTTCTGAACATACATAAGAACGGACATACTGGGTCAGACCAAAGGTCCATCTAGCCCAGTATCCTGTCTGCCAACAGTGGCGAATACCAGATGTCCCAGAGGAATGGAACCCAACAGGTAATCCTCATGTGATCCATCTCCTGTCACCCATTTCCAGACAGAGGCTAGGGACACCATTCCTACACATCCTGGCTAATAGCCATTGATGGACCTAACCTCCATGAATCTATCTAGCTTTTTTTTTTTAACCCTGTTAGAGTCCTAGCCTTCACCACATCATCTGGCAGGGAGTTCTAGAGGCTGACTGCGTTGAGTGAAGAAAAGTTTCCTTTTGTTTATTTTAAACCTGCTGCCTATTAATTTCATTTGGTGACCCCTAATTCTTATATTGTGGGAATAAGTAAATAACTTTTCCTTTTTCACTTTTTCCACACCAGTCATAATTTTATAGATCTCTATCACATCCCTACTTAGTCTTTTCTCTTTTCTAAACTGAGAAGTCCAAGTCTTTTTAATCTCTTTTTAATCTCTTAATACTTTTTAATCTCTCTTCAACTTTGATGTACTATTTTTAAAAAGTTTGCAGACATTGTTTTAACATGTAGATTGACAAATGATCCAAAGGAATATTTTGGATGGAGGATATGTTGAAAAGACCTTTCCTGCTCTGACACTGACTTTAGTTGCAAAAATGAATTGAAAATCATCTTTCAAATGGCTCTGAAACCAACCTGCATCTGTATTTTTTCCCATTCAATTTCACTTATTAATGGAGCAAATTTTTCCTCCAGCTGTTGAAATAGATTTCGACTTGCAGCTATAGAAGAATCAATTTCAGAAAAAAACTCATCTATGTTTGTGTCGTAGGAACTCAATAATCGATTGCTGATCTCCAGAAACTAAAGGGGGAAAAACAGCTTCCAGTTAGAACAGATTTCTGTTTAACAGTTTACCAGCACTGAATTTTCAAAATTATTTGTAAGTTGCTAATAATTAAGGAAATACATTGAGCATTTTCAAAATAAACTCTATTTATTAAAACAGTACTTTCTTTGGCAAACTACCACTCTATCCAAACATAATGAATTCTTACTTAATGTACAAACATGTACCTTTTTTATATTAACTGTCCAAAGGTCTCTACTTTATACTCATAAAAGCTTTAACTCATATGAACACGAGGTGGGTTTGAAAGTATGGTTAACTCCCAAGAACATATTTCATCTTCATTTTAAAAGTTGATAATTTTTTTTTTAAAGTTAATGTACTATGTTTTGTTAACACTGCTAAAGACAACCCGAGTATGTGCATTGAACAGTAGTACTCAATTAATTTTTAGAGCGTAATGCTACTCCCAACAGAAAACAAGAGGAATTGTTGGTCCTGTTGCCAAGGATGCAAGAGATACAAATGATGGGGTAAGAGCAAGAGTGCATGTTTGGCAAGGCAGGAGTGTGAGGGTTCCTCTTCCCATTTTGCCAGCTGGCTGGGTTCAAGGGTTTCTTCCTCCCCCATCTATTTAAAATTCTGGGGGCTTTTCAAAGGCATCTTGCTCCTTTACCTCTACTGCCTTCCCTCACAGAATCGTAGGGTTGGAGGTCATCAAGTCCATCCCCCTGCTATCTCCCCTGTCCAACCCTCCCCTTAGTTCAAGTGCAGAAGATATGTTTTCAGGATGCTGTGGGTATGACTGATTTTTGGAGTTCAAGGGGTTTTTTTCAAATGGGTCCTAAATTGTCCAGTGTGTCTTGCTTCTGTTGCAGCATTGTGGAGGCACAAGTGGGTTGTACACAGTATGACTTGACAATTTAATATTAGGGAAGATAAGACTGTTTAAGCTCATTCAAACTTACAGCTGGTATTGGATGTGGGTGAAAAGGCCCAGCTTCCAGAGATAAATGAGACCTGAGATTTCACTAGTCGACTTTGTGTCTAGAGAGGGGGAGACTTGAAGTCTTTGGGGACTGAGGTCCTAACCTAGTCTATTCTCTGTGGCGAAAGCTAACGTGTTCAAAAATGGAGTTTGAGCCAAAGGGGGGAGGCAGAATAGGGTCTATCCCAAGTTACTGGTTACATGATGGGAGATCTGTAGACCCTGAGCTGGACCCACCTAAATGCCTGGAATTTGAGAATGGGGGCAGATGTACAGCACCTCTCGGCTTTGTTAAATTATCAGTGTTGCTGTCTGCCACCTAAATTCATCCCGAGTGTGGTGTTCATTTGCCTGTGTATCCTGATAAAAGACTTGTGTGTTATTCAATCTTTGAAGAGATCAACTATGCAGCCATAGAAGTATGGACTGAAGTATAACTGGCTCTCACTCCTATCTTAACTCAGCAAACTCAGGTTCCTGATGCAGATGCAGTGTCTATATTTCCGCACATCTGCTGTGAACTACAAAATGCCTGAAAGCTCAGTATAGAGAACAATACTTCTCCTAGAAGCATCACAAGATCTGTGTCAAGATTCTTATTTTGATAATGGTTCTTGATGATTTGAGAAAAAATTCCACAGAAAGGAATGGGATGTGGGCTAAATACTATGGATTCTGTTTCTTTCTCAGGAAAAGAAAATGGGGATTATTCAGTTTGTGTTCATTTGTTCTTAAGTCCACAATCACAGAAATCAGTTGACCATCAAAGTGACTCAGCCTCACCGGCATGGAAATTTTTCCATGTCAAAAGAGTTTGCATATAATGTTTTCTACATCTGTGTTTGTGTTTGATAGTGAAAATATTATCAACATGTTTGTGTTTTTTTTCCTTTTCTCCTTGCCCAGATTCAGTGCCAGAGACTCATGTGGGGCTGCTGCCTGAGGTTAACTGAGCTCTGAGCTTGAAGGAACCCTACCCCCACCCTGGACAGACAGTTCTCAGAGGTCCCCGCTTGCTTGTCTATCTTGATGAGGAACAGCAAAGCAGTCCTGTCTTGGAGTGCCCACATTCGGGACACCACAGCACTCGGCCACATGGAACCAGAGCTGCCTCTGGGCATGCCGGTGTGGCTCATGGGTCGTTGCCATCAGCCCGGCTGCACTTGCTGCAGGCTGCCATCCGGGGGGGGGGTTCATTGGGGGGCCTGTCAAGATCCAGGAGGCCCTGCGGGAGAGCATCCACCCTGAGGAGCCCTCAGAGCCACCCTGGTCCTCCCCACCGGGGACTCATGCCCCATTCCTTCCTCATGTCCTTCTAGTTCCCCTCCCTAGCCCCCCTTCCTGATGTCAAACAAAAGACATGCATGTTCAGAAATAGAAACTGGGTTTATTGAACAAAACTTGGGGGGGGGATGAACCTCTGGGGAGACTGGGAAAAGGAGGTGGGAGAAGGGAAAAGAGAGGGTGGGCTAGGGGAGGGGGAAACCTGGGAGGAGGGAACTGGAAGGGGGAAACAAGGGGAAGAAGGGAGAGGGGAAGCTCAGGGCCCAGCGTTGGGGATCTCGCTGGACCAACTTGGTTTTCATGCTAACGCGCCGCGCCCGGCAGCCCCCTGCCATAGACGGCCGCATTCCTCCGTCTAGTGCAGAGATCATGGACATTGGGGGCATCTCCCCCCCCATACCTGAATAAGGTCCATTATCTCTGCCCTGGACCAGGAAGGTGCCCACTTTCTCCAGCCCTTGTCAGACTTCTGGGAGCTGGCAGACTGCTCTGGGGAGTGGTGGAGGTTGCTGGCTCATGTTTTGGGGCCACTGGATCAGGGGCCCCGATGGCCACTGCTGGCTCTGGTCTGGCAGGCTTGGAGCTGGCACAGGCACTGTGGCCAGGGTCTACCACTTTAATGGCTCCAGGGTTGGGGAAGAGGAGAGTAAGTTTTCCTGGTTGTGCCCAGAGTGGCCACCAGTTCTCCATGGGAAGGGCTGGAGGCCCCCTATTTCAAATTAAGTGTCTACACAGCATTTAATTCGAAATAGCTTTTTTAAATCTGGTGTTACTCCTCATAGAATGAGCTTTACCAAATTCAAATTAAGCACTCTGCTATTTCGAATTAATTTTGAAATAGCGGTTTGCATGTATAGATGCTATTAAAGTTAATTCGAAATAATGGCTGTTATTTTGAATTAACTTTGCAGTGTAGACATACCCAATGACTTCTTATAAAAACCCAGGCTTAGCTAACAGTTCAATACATTATTTTTAACTTTGATTGTCATTAGTGTACTTCAGAATTAGTGGCTAACATGGCCTCCATGTCAGTTAAACTTCCAAAATTAGTTGCCCAGGTGTGTGGGTGTGAAAGACAGCTTTATAATGAAACTCTTAGCTTTGATCTCTCTCTAATCTATTGTTTCCTGCTAAAGTGACTACTTTAAAACAAAGACAAATTCCAGCATCACCCAGAAAAGGAAAATGATGGGAAGCTTTATTACAAGAGTAGGGATAGGTAAATTTCTGTCTTGTGCATAAATTTGATTTGATTATATTTTTAAGTTTTTCCTTTTAAGTAAGAGAAGTGGAAACATGTAAATTCATACTGACTGGAAGACAGTGTGGTTGACTGCATTTTTCACTATAGCAAAAAAAAAAAAAAGTTTGATACAGCCATAAAATGTTTCTGCTAATTTAATCAGTCAGCCGCAGTTTAGTTTTATTTATTATACGAAAACACCTAGTATATGACTGGTGGTGTTTTAAAAAACTGTATTAATATTGAGGCCCTTTTAAAGCATTTCCTTGTAAAACTTTGAGAGATAGGGGGTGTCTAAAAGATTGTCTAGCATAGTACATGTTAGTGAAGCTATTCTTGTATTTCCATGGTATCCTTTCATTAAGAAATATCTTTCAAATTCCATCACATGCAAATAGGTGCATTGACCTTAAATGTTTTGTCCTCTTCGATATTTGCATTTTACATCATTTCCATATATTTCTAAATGACAAAATTGTGAATCTCTTTTGGGTGAGATGCACAATATGTATTGGACTAATGAGATTTTATTTTAATCCAGTTATGAGAGCACATACTGCCCTCAGTGTTTTAGTGAGCTAAGTCTCTGAAATTACATTTATTGTAAAAGGTTATTGGAGTCTTAATTTGCTTTATCTGAATTACTGTCAAATCCTAGGTTTTAGAATTTAATTAACTTGTTTTATATAAAACATGAAACCTGCTTCTGCTCCTAGTGAAATCAATGTTGAAGTTCACTGACTTCAGCGGCAGCAGGAGTTATCCAACACGATCTGTTCAGAAAGAAATTAGCCAGGATTGATTCTTTTAGAAAGTTTTTCTATGCTGCCTTGGCACAACTATGCTGCAAAGCCTATATTATGTTTGGTTCTAACCTGGCTTTCAGTGAATCAAACTGGCATATAACACTGTGGGCAATAATTTTCATGAGAAACGTATATGTGGCCATCAGTAATTAGCATAAATTAGAGCAGCCCTAAGGCTGCTTCAGCTTTTGCTGGTGGTCAGGGAGAACTCCAAATATGGAGAGTGCATAAAAAGTTTAAAGCAGTGATACTCAGTAGATGGCCCATGGGCCATATGTAACCTGTCAAGGCTTCCTTTGTGGTCCACCATCAGACCTTAAAAATATTTATAATTAAGTTCAGAACCAGTGACGTGCTCTTTATTATTTGCCTATGACTTCCGTAGTAAATAATTTACTGTCAATGCTTAATTTTAATAAAAGAGGTGCTGGGGCAAACTCCTAAACAAAATAAGTGCTGATAGGGAATCTGGAGAGAGATGGCTGCTGGCCAGGTGCACAGCCCTGAAGGCAGCGCAGCTGTCACCATCAGGACAGATGTAAGGGTGGCATGGTATGGTATTGCCATCCTCTGTGCTGCTGCTGTCAGTGGCACTGTCTTCCAGCCTAGGTGGCTGGAGAGCAGCAGCTGACAACTGGGAGCCTAAAAGAGTCAAGGATATGAACTTCCAAGCCTAAATGTGCTGGGGTT